CCGCGAATCCGAACGCCGCGAATCCGAACGCCGCGAATCCGAACGCCGCGAATCCGAACGCCGCGACCCGAACGCCGCGAACCGAACGCCGCGAACCGAACGCCGCGAACCGAACGCCGCGAAAAATTTTGTCAAGATATTTCATACACTTCCGCAAACAATATAGGCGTAGTACAACGGAATGTGTTATTTTTTGTATATAGACGCGTGTTGATGATGGTTTGATCGTGTTTGCTGACTCAAGCGTCCCTGAACAGAAGTTCTACGCAACCCGCCGCATCCTCAAGTATTAAGTGCGCCATTGCTTCACACTCTCCTCCTGCGATTGTGAAAGATCGGCCGGTAGTATTACTGGAACCTTATCTCGGACAAGTAAATCAAATTTCTCCAACACAGTGTCATAGCGAATGCATGCCCAAACTTGAGGGAGAACGTTTCACCAACAGGATACTTGACAACCATGTCCAAACCAGGGCATAGAACGAACTCATAATCGTGATAGGATCTTTCATCTGTTAAATATTTTGCTGAGCGTATCGTAAAACGTGATTAACAATCTCAACACCAGTAGCGTGTGAATACACTGCAATGTCCACTAGTATCTTACACGGTTCGAACCCATTTGATGGCTTTTGCCGGAGCTCGAATTCAAGCATTATCATCAAGTAATATCAAAAAATATATTTTATCCAGAGTGAAACACCATATCATATACGGTACAAACTTATTTAGGGAATACCAGCGCGAACTCAAACGTTACGATAACGTTGTATCCGCAAATAAAAGAGAGATATTGCATAGAGCGAAGTACTATATCTTATGTGACACGAAGTCATTTTTGGGCCTCTGCGCAAGCGCAAACTTATTATGATATTTCGATCAGAATTTAGAACTACTCTTGTAGATCCCAGTTTATTATTTATTTGTTTATTTATTTATTTATCTACTTATTTATTTATTTATTTACTTATTTATTTATTTATTTAGGTAGGTAGGTAGGTAGGTAGTTAGGTAGTTAGTCAGTCAGTCAGTTAGTTAGTCAGTTAGTCAGTTAGTTAGTCAGTTAGTTAGTCAGTTAGTTAGTCAGTTAGTTAGTCAGTTAGAGTGGAAGATGCCCGCGTGTAGCATGCAGCTAGAGAGAGTTCAGGCGCCGTCGGCCCAGAAGATATCTTTTCTTGAGAGTGGTTTATTTCTCCCGAAGCTATAAGATACTTAAAGGAGAGCAAGGAGAACCAAGAAAGTAATTCCGTCCGAAAACACACTCCAACGTCTGCCCCTGCCGCTCAACGTTGGTTTTCTCTAAATCGCCCCTTAGCTCCTGTCCATAGATGATAGGAATCGCGGTTCATCCTGCCAGACCGCCCCTCAGCCTAAAAATTCCAGACCAAAGTGAACCGGTACCTTGACAATAGTGAAAAAGCTCTCAAGGTACGCGTTAATCTACTCCGTATGAGGCACGAATTTATTAAACGAGGCCTAGCGCACTTGCAGTATTGTAAGAATGTTTATGGAATTTTATCATTTAGCTGTTGTCAATCATTCTTATACCACTTTCCTCCTTTTCTGGGTTGGCCATTGCCTTCAACACGTAAGGGAGACTATCCCGTTGGTGTTGTTCGGTCGATTATTTCTTCTAATGCAAGCGTCAATTGCCCCGGGAAGGGCCGTTCTTCCATGGGTGTGGTCTGCACGTTTGTAGGAATGTACCCCGTTTGGTTCCTTTAAGTTTATTTTTACAATTTGTCGTGAGAGGAACCGTTTCCGACAGTACGGTTGTCACAATATATTATAATTAATATATATATATATATATATTATATATTATATATATATATATTATAATATATATATATATATATATATA